CACAAGTTGCTATCAAAAGGAGGGGTCGTGTAGATAGCAACTTTGTTGTTCCCGACTATTTGGCACAGGGTATTTGTTTGTCACCTTATATGGTAGCCAGGGGGTGAGGTTTTGGTGATTCGTCAATCACGAAAGGTCATGGTCATTCGTGAGTTGGGGCTCGTATCGTTTTGGTGGCAATACGTTGCTTACATTTGGATTGCGTTGGCGTACACCATGGCTCAGGCTCGTGTAAGGTGAACATACATCATGCTGTCACGTGAAGATGTTTTGCGCTGGGCTGTTCTGCGTGAAGCCGTCCGGATACGAACGAAAGCGCTGGGTTGGACCGAGCCGAAAGATATCTATGAAGCAGACGAGACAGTGGAAGAACTTCGGAGCTGCAATGTGCATGCGGTAAATGACAGGACCACCCAGGCTTGCCACAAATGTGTGAATGCATTAATGGATCCCGGGTGGTTTGGTCTGAAGGGCCAGAGAAAGTGCTTGCAGCTGGAAGAATGGTTTTCTGCCATGCATTGCTGCATTCCTTTGGTTCGATTCTGTTTGCAGAGGTTCTTGAAAAAGAGCTTGGAATGCCATCTACTTGGGATGACACAGCGAAAGAGAGAATTGTCGAAAGTCTCGTGGCTCATCGGGCTCGAGGCCGTATGTTTTTCACAGACGCCTACAACCCGGCAAAAATTGCTGGCAATGAAGAGAAGCAAGGCGTGGAAGAGGCCAAGGTTGTGTATGCTCGGATGTTGAGCCGTCTGGATGGCTTGTGGTTGGCGCGAGTGGGCTTAGCTGAGTTGGCGCCTTGGAGTGCCGTAGTTATCAGCAGCTTACAGAGACGATCCAACTTGTTCACGGTTTTGGAGGCACTGGCTTTGGCGCCAAAGAATTGGCCCTGCGGCTGATGCACTCGACACTGTGTGAAGGAAGACCAGTCGACGATGCAATGACTTGGTCTGCTGTTGGTCCTGGGGCCAAACGCTGTTTGAATTGATTGAGTGGCAGAAACATTTCCTACAATGTTACAGCTGCAGATCCAGAAGCAGGCGCGTTCTTTTTGGAAGAGTTGAGAGCTGTTCACTGGCACGTGTCTGCAAAGTGGCCTTCAGAGACTGAAGGTGTGCAAGTCGCCCCTTTGGCAATGTACGACACACAGAATATTCTGTGTGAAGTAGACAAGCATACTAGACGGGCCCAAGGAGAAAACGGCTACCATCGGTTGTACAAAAAGCTCGATGGCCAGGTCGCCAAAAATCGACGGTGAAGTGCCCGCGCTGGGCGTATTTATGTGCAGGCGTTGTCTATGCCACTTTACATGGTTTCTTTCAGCAAAAAGGATTAACGAACAGTAAGCATCCTCTGAGAAAGGCATTGACTCGGGTGGCCAAGAACATGCCGGAGGATGATCAGCTGCACTTGTTTGGAATGAGCCTTCAGAATTCATTGATACCAAAGAAGACTGAACTGGCAAGTCTTCCAGACATGGATCAGCATTTATGTCGTGGGAGAAATATGAACACGGACGACGAAGTCCGTGCCACGTTGTATCCAGTTTCACAGTTGACCAAGGCGCACGCGAAAGCGTACAAAGCCTGCCAGATGAAAAATGGAACGAAGCGGTGCATAGTGTATGGTTGTGTGTTGGTGCAGAGGGCCTGCAGCAGGTTTCAGCGGTAAGCATTATAGATGGATTTTTACGTTCCTAGGTGCAGGAACTGGTTGCTGAGTGCCAGGAACTGAGCTGGAGGTTGGTGGTACTGCTGCAGAGCGCGATAGTACGTTCGAAAGCGACAGGGTGGAAGACGTCGGCCGGTAACCAGCTGAGGTGCAGGCCGAAGAGTGCGCAGGTGCCACTGGGAACTAGCAGATTCGCAGTGGAGGTAATTCAGTTATTGTTGTGGGAGCTGCACGAATGCCAGCAATTATGAGTGGGTGAACACTTAGCTGTTTTTTCGGCCTTAAAAAGGGGTTGCGGTGCTCGTGTTCTTGGAACCGAGGCTGTCTGGTTTTGCGTTCCGGCTGTGTTAGTCGCCATGGGTAAATGGGCTGCCACACCGAAGAAAAGTTTGAAGAAAGTGCACAAGACAACGGTTTCGCCGGCAAGCCTGGCGTCGGGAAAGGTGCCACAGAAAGGTTCGCTGCGACCACTCATTTGTGTGGTGACCCCGTTTGCGAACAAGGCTGCTATCTTCACAGAGCGTAACGGACGTGGTGTCTTGGCTGAAGCGGCCGATGCTTGTTCCTTGTGGGCAGTCTTCTTGATTGCGGGGAAGGATGTGGGCAACTTCTTGCATCGCCTGGATCAGCAGCTGGGTACGTTCATGGAGAGCCGTGGCACTACGTGGGATGCCTACATTGACGAACATTGTGTGAAAGTGTCAACCTCCAATGGGTATGGCCCACTCAACATCGGTGTGAAGAACTGGTCTCGTGCTGTGTACTTTGCCGTAGAAGAGCCAAGCAATGAAGTTGTGGCAATGATCAACATGCTGGATGATTTCTCCAAATGGCGACTCACTGCAATGCAAAAGTCAAACCAATTCGAATTCAGTGGGTGGTGCCATGTAGCGTGCCAATGACGGAAGAGGCGTTGGAGTATTCGTCGGTAGACCTAACTCTTTCTGATGAACAAGTCCAAGAATACCTCAAGAACCATTTGCGCGAGTTTGAGTCTCCTACAAGTGCTAAGCATTTGATCGGCGTGGTGGAGTTCCAAGGGCAGACCGGCCTCATCACACTTTATGGCGATGGTTACGTTCATCGTCAAGGTTTGCAAGACTATGCAGAAGTGGTGGAGAGGGATGGGCGCAATGAATATGTCTATTCCACTGGGTATGTCGCTCTAGATGAGTTGCTACACCACGAGCTTATCACTACCTGCGTTGACAACAGGTGACATTGTTACGGCCAGTACCGGAGTTCCTGGACGTGCATACCGTTCGATGTTGGAATGCTTTGCTGGACATGCCCCACCTCATCGGGCAGAAGGCAGGGTTTTATTTGGTAGGTTGGGTGTGTTAGAGGGTCGTGGCGAAGTTTGGACATGACACTAGGTATCTGAAAAACTTCTCGAAGCGGCAGATGAGGAGGACTGATGTGATAAGACTATAGAGCTGTCCGTTACAGAGTGATAAGTTTGGAGGGTACTAGAAAGCGCAGGAGAACTTGGGTGGAGCGTTGAAATACGGAAAAGTTTGATTGAGAGTCTTTTGAGAGAAAGGGTATTTGTGGGCAGGATGCTGCGCAGCCGACGATGGACGTGGAGGCCTGTGTGAAGTCTGTTCTTGGATGTTCTGTCTAACTGCGGATGGTTTTAAAAGTTTATACACTTTCTGTGACAGTGTGATAGGCGCAGAAGGTGCCAGAGAACACAGGAGAAGCTGCGCAGGTTTTGGGCG